GCGACTGCAGCTTCAAGTTACGGACGGAAAAAAGGAGGGGGAAAGGGTGGGAAATTCAAACCATTGGTGGCAAAGAGGCTGCTTCTTCACCCCAACGGTTAGGAAAAGGGAGGCTCAGCCTCCCAGGATTCCACCGCTGCTACCACTGCCACTGGGAGGCTAGCCGCTGGGCCATCCCAACTGGGCTCAGTCTCCCGGGCTTCCCCGCTGCCCTGACCGCCGCCGCGGGAGGCCTCCCGGACTTCCCCACCACCACCACCAGAGGCCTCCTGGGTTTCGCCGTCACTCCTGGAGGCCTCCCGGGGTTCCCCGCCACCACTCGAGGCCTCCAGGGGTTCCCTACCACTGCCACTGGGAGGCTAGCCGCTGGGCCATCCCAACTGGGCTCAGTCTCCCGGGCTTCCCCGCTGCCCTGACCGCCGCCGCGGGAGGCCTCCCGGACTTCCCCACCACCACCACCAGAGGCCTCCTGGGTTTCGCCGTCACTCCTGGAGGCCTCCCGGGGTTCCCCGCCACCACTCGAGGCCTCCAGGGGTTCCCTGCCACCACCGGAGGCCTCCCGAGGTTCCTTGCCACCCTGACCGCCACTGTTGGAGGCCTCTCGGAGTTCCTCATCAGCCTGACCGCTACCGTTGGAGGCCTCCCGGGCTTCCCCGCCACTGCCGGAGGCCTCCTCTGGAGGCCTCCCAGGCTTCCCCGCCACCGCCGGAGGCCTCGCGAGCTTTCCCGCCACCGCCGGAGGCCTCCTGGGCTTCCCTAACAGAGGAAGCAGGGGAAGCGGATGTTGCTGCAGTTCTCTAACATGGCCCGACTGGTCACCTGCACGTAGAAGCTGGTGTCAGTGGTGCGGTTGGTGCAGAGCTGCTGGCAAGCAAGGGCCAGCAGGCAGCCACTGCAGCCATCCACCCGTGCCAAGGTTGACATGGGCCCGCAGAGCACCATGCAGTCCCAGCAGTGGCACACCAGCAGCGTGTTGGGATTGCCCTGCAGCCACACCCAGCAGCAGCGGAAGTGAGACAGCATCACGTTGCGCTGCAGCACTTCAGCTGCGCCCAGCTCCAGCTCTTGTCCCTCAGCTCCACTGAAGCCACAACCGGGCTCCACCGCTAAGGAGGAGGCCGCTCCCCCGGAGTCCTGTGAGGCGGCACCTGAAGGGATGGAGCGGGCTCTTTCTTGAGGGCCTTTTTGAAAGTGAAGCGCTTCCTGGGCTGCAGCTGGAGGCACTTCTCGGAAAGCAGGAGGCTGAGGAGGCTTCGGACTGGTAAGGTGCTCCTTTTTCCTTTTAAAAGTTGTTCTGGGTGGGTTTTGGAGGGTAGGTTTGGGCTGGGGGAGTTACGTTTCTGTGTTGTTCTGTTTTTTGGTGATTTTTTGGCAGTCCCAGAGTGGGACTTGCTCCAATGTTTATTTTTGGATTTGCTTGTTTTTTGTTTTTGTTTTGCAGTCCCAGTGTGGGATTTGTTCTGTTTATTTTCTTTCCTTTTTTTTTTGTATTTTTTTCTTCAGCCGGAACAGATTAATCGGTTTTCAATGCATTCCTATGGGAAATGGTGCTTCAACTTATGAAAATTTCGAGTTACGGCCACCGTTCCAATACGGCTTAATTTCGTAAGTCAAGGCGCCACTGTATCTTGTATAGTGGGTGGAAGTCAATATTATTCTAGAGCAGGGTCAAAGCATAGGAATAATGACACCATCCACCACTCTCTCAGGAATCCCTACTCTCTCTAAGATGAGCAGCAATCTTCTCAGCAGCTTTGTGTGTGTGTGTGGTGGGGATGCTTTTCCAGCAACAATATACTATTGTATGTCACCCTTTGTAATACATAGTGTTTATATGTGTGAGCATGAAGAGCAGGAGAGCGTGGGGGGAGGGTTCAACACAACCGTCTCTCTTTTTGGAGTCCCCTGCAGTGGTGCAACTACTGGAACTGTCATGATAAGTGCCAAATTTACTACAACATCATTCCAAGAAGCTCGGAAATAGCCTTCAACTATGACATTTGCTGCATCCGTGGAGGGGATGTCAACTCTCCCATCTCAATAACTCTTTAACTTTTTCCCCATCAAACAATACTGGTCCAGATCAAATACCCAAGATCTGGGTGGGGGAAGCTCAATAACTTTCAGAGCATTTTCTCCTTTCTTTCAGGTTTTGTTACATGTTAAGCATATAGACTTTTATACCCTAGCGGGTTAAACTGCAAAATCTCTGGACTGCAAGGTTGTAAGATAAGCGGTTTGAATCCATATGACAGAGTGAGCTCCCATTGCTTGTCCCTGGTTTGAATCCACGTGACAGAGTGAGCTCACGTTGCTTGTCCCAGCTCCTGCCAACCTAGCAGTTCAAAAGCACGTAAAAATGTGAGTGGATAAATAGGTACCACCATGGTGGGAAGGTAGTGGCGTTCCATGTCTAGTTGCGCTGGCCACGTGACCACAGAAACTGTCTTTGGACAAACACTGGCTCGAAGGCTTGGAAACGGGGATGAACACCGCGCCCTAGAGTTGGACACAACTGGACAATTTGTCAAGGGGAACCTTTACCTTTATCTTAGAACAAAGAACTACTCCACAAAACATATCAAAGAACATGGTTCACTCCACACATTTTCACATGGTACATCTGTGCCATTTTAAAAGAGAGAGGTAAGAATAAGACATACAGTATTCTAATTTCAGACTCTGTTATTTAACTCTAATCACCTTGCAGTAGAATGTTTTATATTAGAGACAGGTGGCTACACACACACCACCATAGCTGTGATGTGGAGACTGTCATGTTCTACTGCCTATGGTTCTAACAGGAACTTCAGAACTAAGATCAGCCTCTGGTTCCTGGCAGTGTAAGTAATTTGTTACCAGAGCGTCTTCCCTGGGTGAAGAAAGCATGAATACTACACAATGAAATTGACATAGGTTACTTTAATGTGGCTTTTACTGGAACTTTCTTCTACAGTTATTCTATTATATCAGAAATGACAGTGGAATTTAATTTAACCTCTCACAAATTATTCTAACACACACTTTGCGCCCTCATCTTCTTGTTGTTATAATTGTATAGATATCATTTCTGCTATGACATGCCCCGTTGCTCTACCACTTTTCAATATGCAACTCAAAGCAGTGCACAGTTTAAAAACAAAAGCTTGAAGTTTTTTATAACTGCAAGAATAATATTAAAAATGTTTTTTTTTCCTTTTGCAAAGCAACTGATAACACTGTGGGTGAAACGGCATTCTTCATTAGAGGATTAGTTACATTCTCATAGTGGCTGCTGCTTTTTGTACATGCAAAACATGACACACAGAGCAGAGCCTAGCTGGCAGATCTCAAAGGATGTGCAACCAACTAATAAATGCAACTGATACAACTTATTCTGGAAGGGGCTCAACATTAACCGTCTTAAAGGTCTGGCCACTCTTCTCACTCTGCAAGCTGTCTCAGTATTGAACAGTGCAAGCTTATGTTTTTACAGATACAGGCACCCAAATTTAAGCAAAGGTTACATCTCAGCTAAAATTAGCTTAACGAATCTTGTAAAAAGTACAAGAGTGCAACACACAATGCCCTGAACAAAAAAAAAACCGAATTAAAATATAATAACAGAAATTACCAGTAACTAAAACACAGCTAGACTTCCTTCACAACAGAGCAACTCACCTTTAATTTTGATTCCAGTTTTCACCACTCAAGCATCAGTTACACACTTCCTGTGCCAGTAAGAGCACAGAAGTGCTTAAAGCTAATGTAGACTTTGCCAATAAGGTGCAGAATGTTAATCTGCCTACTCTCTTTTTCACTTTTAAGAAGTATTTACCATCTTAAATTCCATCATAACAAGTGTAAAACCTAGTTATTATTTTTTTAAAAAACAGCACCTTTTCTACCCTTGACCTTCAGTAACAAACCACCATCCTAGAGTCACACCCACATTTTCACACCACTACCCATGAATTCGGGAGTTTTGCACTCTACCCTCTTATGCAATAGCTCTATGTAGCATGTTCAAGCACACAGTACGGGACTTGATTTAATCTTATTCACCCAACACACCTTCAGACTCCAATCTCATCTGCACAGTGGATGTCACAGCTACACAAAGTGCAAGTTGTTAGTGTATAGAATGTGTTGCTTTGGCCTACACTTATTGGGCTCTATGCAGAAAGGCACATGCATTGCGATATCAAATGCTACTAAATGCTGCAGAAGCCCAGAAGCACAACGGAGAAGCAGGCACAGCTCTAATTAGATTAAGTTTCAATTTATCATATGAACCTATTCCTCTAATCCACCTAAGACTGCCAAGGTTTATTTTAGCAAGTCATTATTAAACAGAAATGCTGGATCATCACAGCTCTCATAGCAGGAGGCAAGGCCATATTCACAATCAGGCTAAAAGACATAAAGCATTATGCACCCAACCCAAGCAGGAAAGAGCCACAGAAAGCCTTGGGGTCATACATACCCTAAGGCTCATTCTTCCTGCCCCGCAGCTGAGGAGAAGAATTTTAAACATAGCTTCCCATGTTGTCTGCACCAGGAACTATGGTGCAGACGACGTGATTGATGATTGATTTGAACAAGCAATCTTTAGAAATAAGGACCTGAAATTTCATCATTTTAAATAAAGATAAGTAATGTTAATTACAGTTTGTCACTTTAGAGAACAAAACAAACTATGTTTAAGGGAAATCAGAAGTTTCTGTTTTCCTCCCAGTCACATGGGAGAATATGGGAGTATGAAAGCCAAAAGCTACTCTTAGTTGCATACAGGACACTAAACTGCGGCTAATGGTTTATGATTATACGTGAAAAGGGGAAAGAAAAAAAACACTCTTCCCAAAGCAGTGTTTTCAGGGTACAGTATTTTTATAGTATCTAATTTTTTGAGAGAAGCATTCTGATCCAATGGACTAAAACTGCCTATTGCGAGCAGGGCTTTCCTTCTGTTTTGCAATGTTTTGTTCTAAATGAAAATGTAATAGTTGCAGTTTACTCACCTCACTGTTATGGCCCCTTAAATTAAAGTTGATTCGCTGTGGTGTATTCCTATCTCTTCTACAGTGGCTGGAGGTGAAGGTAACGCCTACTACTCCTCTGCCATTGCCTGTGGCCAGCCAGCCTTCTTCATAATAACGCCTCCGGCATACAGGTTTCTCCTTTTCACTTTTAGGAACTCTGCCTTTCCAAGAGAGGCAGAGGATGTTGGAATCGCTGCAGAGAACGGGCCCATGTTCCACTGCTGCATACATGCTTTGCTGTATTTTTCCCTTCTGACATAAGAGAGTACTATATCCAGTGCAGTAAAAGTAGGTTGATTTTTTGTTTGTTTTATTGATAAGCTCAAAACTTTAGACAGATCAGAATACAAGAAGGTAGAGGGAGAGGTGAAGATCAGTTTTTATAAATATCCACCAAATGCATAGTGAAAATTTTCTCTATAAAAATGACAGTTGGCTAAGAAAACATAATGCTTAAAAAATGGAAACAAATCAGGTTCATCTTGGTTTGGAGTCTTCAGAGTGAGGGTACACGTATCCTTTGGAGAAAAAGCTACTGCAGAAGAGGCGTTGCTCAATTGTATATGATCATCATACAGCCTGAGATTTCCAGTATAACGTTATGCAATTCCAGAGACAAAGGTTTGCAGATGTGTAGGTTTCAAGTAACTTAAGGCTTTAAAAAGATTTCCTCCAGTTGGATTTTCATACATACATATATGGGACATTCATTCATCTTTCCCCAAAGCTGCCCTCTGGCATATCTTCCCAACAGACAAAATTTCTGCTGCTAACACTGAAACAGATTGCATAAAGAAGAGGGAGGGGGAAGGCACACAGACTGTGTGAGACCACAAACCAAAGTTTCCTTGCAGTTAACAACGCGCCAGACCAGATGGAAAAGCCCTTTCCAAACTCTGCTGTTCACTGTTCAACCCAACGGTTTTTGCAATCCAAAGGTAGTCCCATTTCCTTGGCATCTGATACCTTCTGCACCAACTCCACTGGTATCCAACTTTATCACGCTGTCCTGCCTCCTTCCTCAAGCCCTGTTGCCACACAAAGGCATGAAAAGGAAAGCGCCTTCTCATTTAGCAGGCATTTGTTAAAACTCTCTGAAGCTTTTAAGCTCCTAAAAGCAGACACCTTTGCCTCAGATGAACCAAGAAGTTTCCGCCGAAATACTGAACTGTTTTATATCCTTCTCCTTTCTCCCTGCCAGAAGAGACTTTTAGGATGAGCTTTTCATCTCCTTCTTTTAAAAAAAGTGTAAGAACCAAAAGTGCATCAAATGCATTTTTGTTTGTTGATCCTGCAGGGTTCAAGAAGGGAAAAAAACCCAGCCAACTAAAAAGAGATACAGGAGCCCCACAATATATGCAACTTCCACTTCCTTTTATTGTTTCCTGGGTTGTCCCTTTGCTTGTCCAATATGCCCTGTCCTTTTTGGTGCTTTTCTACAGCACAGAGACATAATTCTAATCAACACATTTGCAGATGTTAAAACATCTTTTTAAAAAAAATGTTCCAAATGTCTCAAGGAATTTTTATGAGCAAATATTTATCAGTACTTGTACCACATTGTCAAGAAATAGGACAAAAACAAAAGCAGGGCAGAGAGGAAAAAGTAACAGATTACAAAGTTGCAACGCTCAGTCTGGGATAAAAGAGCTTCTCAAATTCAAACCCTGGATCAGTCCCACTGCTCCAGAATTTGCTTTCTTCCAGTCATCACTACCCAATTACTTGTCACTACTTACTTAGCAAGCACGTTCAAATTGAACTGAAAAGTATGGAAGGCTTGAACATTATTCCTCTTATGATGATGACAATATTGATCTCCTCTCCACTCAGAGATGCCCTCATTTCATAGAGGTATTTGTGTCATTTGCTGTGCAGAGGGTGTTCTGCTGATTCTTAAAATTCTTTTCTCACACTGCAAACTGTATGGAAAACTGACCATTAGTACCAGATGATATTCCAAGAGCTTTTGGTCCTTATGCTGACAGGTTGTTCCATCTGATGCTTGAGTAAATTTCCATCAATTGCACACAATCCCTAAATCAGAGAAGTGCTGGTCTGTCTGGCTATGATAATCTTTCTCTGTGTGTATTATATATACACACACAGTGAGAGAGACACACACATACATCTGTTATGCACGGACTTTCTTTCCTTCAGTTTTGCAATTTAGGTTGAGTCAGGCTTCACAGTTTAGCTATGGTAGTCTTTTATGGCACCTGTCATTCAAAGCTGGGAATCCTTGGATGCTTCCAATTCTGTAAAATAAAAACAAAAACAAAATAAGACTATATATAGAAACATATCAAAACAGCAGGATTGCATGATTGTGTGTGCTATAGCACTGAGAGGCTTACTGGGCCTGTAGGAATATTCAGCGTACTCTACATTTACAGCATTAAAGAATCTCAACCATTGCAAAATGATGTTTTGCAAGTAATGAAACTTACTCAACAAGAAAATGACACAATGGAACTTATCTCAGCATAAATTGCTTACATTGAGAGGAAGGGAATAGATACCATAAGGATAACTGATCCTCACAATTACTCCAACTAGTCTCTAAAATAAGGGTGGGCAAATGTTTGAAGTTGAGAAAGAGGAATATTACATTCTCTAGAACCCAACAGAGACGTGCTGCCACTGAATTTGTCACCATCTTTTGGCAACCACTATCACTACAGTTGCTGTTGTTGTCCATGGTACAACAAAGCCTCTTCCGGCACCACTCGACTCAGCAGGATTATTGAACAGAGAGTCCCACAGGCTTTCCATAGCCTGGAGATGCTCTGCTCCATTCTCTTGGTCGCTATTTCAGTGTAGATACTGTAGTGCTGAAAGAAGAAAGAACAACTACATGAAGCTCACTATGGAACAAAGAACGAAAGAAGACAAGGTTCATAATAGAGACACCTGGTGGGGGGGAGATTCTGAGCAACTGCTTCCCCCCCACAGACACACACAAAAGCCCTTGCTGGAGTTCAAACAGCTGATTTTCAGAAATCTAAATAAGCGACTCACCAATTACATCTTCTCATGCTTGCACCTTCCATTTTTTTTTATTACAGTGGCATCTCATTCTTGAAATATTCAAAGAAATGTAAATAGCTTATAATTGTGAAATAGGGAAGGGGCAAGAGTAACCAGGGAAATGGCAAAACTAGAAGTTTTCTATATTCGGCATGGGGGTGGGAAACCAAAGTGTGAACTTGTATAAATGATTAGAATCTTAAAGGCCAATCAGACTCAATTTTATCTCATTACATTTATGATTCTGCAGATATGGAATGAGGGCTTCCTAAGAAGACAAATTCAGCTGCTACATTAATTATGAACATATCCCTGATGCATCGTATACTATTTTAATTGGAACAGGAAACACGCAGTGGCATCCAATTATATTCTCTCAATGATGGACAGTTGCCTCCATCAGCAGAAATGGGAAGAGGAAATATTCTTTTCTTCCACAGTTAAGAGACTCCTTTTTAAAGAAAGGGAGAGAAAGAAAGGTTGGAGCAGTACAGATGAGCTGATTTCTAGTGCTACAGGATTGGATTTCACACACAATTAGGTGATTTACAATGCAAGAAACCCATGATGCTCAAATCTGCTCTGTTCAGACTTTTTTGTTTACTTAAACTCCTTTCATCTACAACCCTGCTAACTGGCAGGTGCTTACTATATCAGATATGATACTCAGTCCTTAAACAATCCTGAGATATACGCATATGCAGTACCATTCTATTAAACTGTCTTTCATTGTGCCTGAATTGCTTCTGTTGATGAGCATCTGTACTACATAGCATTCGAAGAATCTTGCACACTTACTTGCTGGTGTTTATATATTCTCATTATATATAGTCTACGCTTTTTATATTCCCATTCATTGCTAAAATGGACTAGAAAAACAACCATCTTGTGCATAATTTCACTCCTACAACAATACCCTTTGTTGTTGTCTCATTAGGGATATGCTACCCATTTTTCCTATGAATTTTAATATACCTCTTATATAATGTTTTGGTAATAAGGTACAGTATTAGTTACAAACATTTTACAAACTCGTTGTCTATGCAGTTTTTAAATGTCCATGTGCTCAAGGCTTAAAAATAAAGTCACACCTGACAATGTGGTAGAATGTTCTTCCCTTCTCCTTCCTGTTGTAGCCATCCATGCCACTAGCAAACTGACTGAAACATTTTCTTAGATCTCTCTCAAATTGCTTTTGTACTGCACTGCTTAGAAAACTGCATTAGTACTAAGTTTGCCTTTTCTTTTGCTCCCGCGCTACCTCAGCTTCTCATTGTGGATATATTGTTATAGCAACTCTTGGGTTTTGGAGGTATGTGCAATCTCCCACCAATCATATGCTTATGTATTTGACTATACACAGACAGATACACTGTGTTGTAGCAGAGTGCTTACTATGTGTATGAATTATACCACTATACCACTAAGCAACCTTGACTCATGCACACACATCACACGCAAGAAAAATTATGCAGACCATCTTGAATTTGCTAAAATAGTGTGGAAAGATTTCTTTCATTTCTAATTCTGAAATCAGTGGACACAGCAGAGAAAGTATAAATAACATTGAGATTAATCAGCACTACAAATGAACAGGCAAAATTAACATCTTGCATTTTCATAGGTGAGATGGTGCAAGCCTATTAGTCTGGTAGAAATTCATTATGTAAACTATTTCTTTCCATTTGAACAAATCCAAACTAATAATTTTGGTCTGACATTGTTCAGCTACAATGCCAAGGTGCTTCCTAAGATGGACCTTAAGAGTAGAGATCAAGTTTTAAAACTTAGTTATTGAGCTTTGAGTAATCATCCTGGCAATATCCTAGCTACAATATAAGAACATCAAGTTGCTGTTATTAAGAAGACAAAATTATAAAAAGTATTTAAAGTCTCTTGGAGACACTGAGAAAAACATAAGGATTCCAAACAACTTGTCTGATCTTAGTAAAGTATCTGGCTGTGGCTCTCTCTCTCTCTCTCTCTCTCTCTCTCTCTCTCTCTCTCTGTGTGTGCGTGTGTGTGTGTGTGTGTGTGTGTGTGTGTGTGTGTGTGTGTGTGCGTGCGTGTGTGTACACACCCATGTATATTCATCAAAGGGTATATATGGGTCAGAGGAGATATGTTGTCCCACTTAGAAAAGAACTGAAGCCTGAACTGGCAATTTAAAGTTTTGTAATATAAAAAGTCACAAAATCTGCATACATTCAGGAATCAGTAGCTTTTAGACTACAGTGGACCCTCTACTTAAGGAATTAATCCGTATTGGAATGGTGGCTGCAAGTCGAAATGTCTGTAAGTCGAATCTCCATTGACCTACAATGCACTGAAAACCAATTAATCCCATAACCAGTGGTTTTTATTCTATTTTTATTCCATTTTGGTTTTTTTCTGGTCTGTAAGTCGATTCTCTGGCTGCAAGTCGAATCTAAATTTTGCAGCCAGAGAAGTCTGTAACTCGAAAAGTCTGTAAGTCGAGCCGTCTGTAAGTCGAGGGTCCACTGTACTTGTATGAAGACTCTCTAGAACGGTCTAATAAGACTGCCACTCCTGGCGCAGACTGCAGCACCTCTGAAAGATTGCCATGTGTTCTCTCCAAAGAAAGGTGACTTGGTATAGGAACCCTGGCTTGCAAGCTAAAGGTCTGGGATTTTTGAAATAGCAGTCAAGGAAATATGCAGTAATAGACCTCAGAATTACATATACACCCAAATAGGAAATGAACTTCCACAAAAGAATGGGTGCCTTTTGGCAGCAAAGTACCAAGACAGGTTTCCTGCTTTTGCATTCCTCCAGTGAACAAAAAGCTGCCAGGAGTTACAGAGCTCGTCTGTGTTACTACAGAAGACCCTGCCGGGCTTACAAATTATCAACAGCTGGCTGGCAAGGTGCAGAGGAGCCCCATGCTGCCACTTTTTGTCACCAGCTATCAGTCTCATGACTGATTTCCAGCAGCCACAGCTTTGGGCTCATCCCTGTAAGAACAAGAAAATGGAACAGGGGACAAAGAGGGTACGTACACTCTGCACGTCCATTTTTTAGGTATCTGCAGTGGCTTCTGCTTTATCTCTTTCACTAGCCAAAGTCAGTCACTTGGCCAGAGAGAAAGCACAAGATGTTCCTAAGCTATCTCTTTGCACTCATTCTTTACTAACGATGTGGAAGAACACGCATGCCCTTGCTGTGAAGGAAAGGCTAACACGTGGGCCTCCAGAAGGTGTTATCTTTTGCCACGTTCAATTTAAAATCCTTGAGATTCAATATATTTAGGTCATGATTTGTAACAGACAAGCAACAGAGTGGGTAGCTTTGGGGAGAAGGGAATCACGTGGTCCCTGACTCCACAGAGCTGCTCTTGCCATTTGCAGTAGCTGCTCCATCAAAATCCATTCTTCTTCAATCCATTTGAAGAAGAAAGCATATACAAAATACACTCCTTATTTTAAAGCAAAACAGCACTTCCAGAAGACTCTCAGGACTGTAACTCTCTATCAAAATAAGGTGTGCACTCCTAAACATTTTTGTTTTTAAAGAAAAATATGGCACTTTTAGTACCACCAACATTTGGCAACTTAGTGTAAAATGATGCAGCATGAGCCACACATTCCTGCATTGAATTGAGATCTGCTCCCAAAGGCACATACAAAAAGATTAAAATAAATAAATAAATAAAAGCAGCAAAATGTGCTGTTTCTATATTGTCCCATAGCGCTTAAAGCATTATCTGGGTGATTTACAGTTGGATTCCAAAATATCTCCTGTATAGAGAATTAATGCAGGGAATGCGCTCAGTATGGATCTCCTGTATGGAGAATTAGTGCAGGGAAATCGCCCCAGAGGGAGACCACAGCTGCAATACAAGGACATCTGCAAGTGGGATCTGAAGGCCTTAGGAATGGACTTCAACAGATGGGAAGCCTTGACATCTGAGCTTTCAGCCTGGAGGCAGACGGTATAGCATGGCCTCTCCCATTTTGAAGAGGCACTTGTTCAGAAGGCTGAGGCAAAGAGGAAGTCCCGAAACAAGCAAAATCAGGGAGCTGGACAGTGGACAGACTGTATTTGTCTTCAGTGTGGAAGGGATTGTCACTCTCGAATGGGCCTTCTCAGCCACACTAGATGCTGTTCCAAGACCTCTATTCAGAGCATGTTACCATAGTCTCTCAAGACTGAAGGATGCCTACAGGGTTATTTACAATTTAACTATGCAGGCTAAACATTGCCGCCC